TTATTTAATTATACAAATGTTTTAAAATACCCCTTAAAGTTATTAAAGTTAAATGTGTATGAGAAAGAAAAAATATTTTATTAAATGTATTAAATATTTTATTAATATAATTAATGCTATAATTACTAAAATACAGTAACTGTTAGAGTTCGATGTGAATTTTTCTGAAGGTTTTGATTCTTTATACTCTATTATAGAAAAATTTATAGCATGGCTGTCATAAATAATCTTAGGTTTCTTTAAATTAGTCATAATTGTCCATATTTACATATTTTGCCATTGAGGTCTTGACTATTGAAAAATCTCATTTGAATCCCCCCCGATCCCAACACATGAACAAAATTATAGTCAGTTTGGGGTCGGGGTTAGGGACGAGGGCATACCCAATAGGGTCAACATGAGGATTCCCAGGTCAAACCGGGATGTTTTTGCCATTTCTAGTTAAAGGATATGTATGCATAGATCTCATCCTCCTTTCAAGTATGATGTATTAGATTCACTTGATTTGGATTGGTTAACGTACTTTGGTTTAAGAAGGTCTCACTCACTAGTCTTCCTATTGCTTTTGTAGAACTCCCTTCTTGTATTAGCAAATCAAATCATCATCCATTGATACAACACCAACATTAGTTGATTCTAATTCCTATTAAACGCCAAATACTACCAAAACCATTTTGGTACCTTAAATAGGAACTAAACCTAAATACGTTCATTTTCATGCAATCTCATACGTAAACTAGGTACCTAAAGTCACATCTAAGGTACCAAAATGTAGGTTATGAAAGCACATTACATTTTCATACAATTTGCCTTGAGCTAATTAACTAATATAAACAGGACTTAAACCAGACTTTTGTCACACAAAAGGACCTGGACCTGGACCTGCTAAATATAACCGAGATGGACGAGGATCAACCACACTCGGGTCAAGCCAGACCTTGATGGGAGCATTTTGCTAGGCTAGGACCTCTAAGAGTGACAAGGTTGAGAACCAAACTGGTCCTTCCAAGCCCAGCCAAGCCACCAATTCCCCACCTGTTTAAACCGAATAAAAAACTTTCGTTCCCAAATCCCCTATCCCCTTCCTGACCAATCATGTGAATACACATCAATATTTACTATTTAATATAAATTTATTTAAGTCATCTTTTTATGCTCTCTCCTCACCAAAATGATGATGTGGCTTTAAGTGATTGGTGGACAATGAACATGGGGGCAGTAGATTTTTATTCAAACCACATTATGCAGAAAAGTGCAAAGAGGATGAACAAAATATTCATTTACCTTGTAATCAAATAGAGTGCATGCTATTAGATCTAGAAAGACTGGGGCATGTACCTGCAAAGGCAAAAAACTGAAACAGAAGATCCAACTCTAGAGGTCAGACTACATATTGCTAACATTCGATTAAAACTAATTGTTAGAACATTTTTTTGAAAGATACAGGTTCAAAATGTCATGAAGAAAAATTGAAGCATGAGTGAGATATATTCAAGAAAATATCTAATTAAAAGGTTGCAATGAGTTAGCAAAAAGTACAATCTGCAGAGCAATCTAAGTGCTTCTCTAAATGGGACAAGCAGCACCATCTTAAATGCATGTTAACCCGAAAATGTTACAAGTCAAGTTTATATATCTCTCACCCGCTTTCCAACTTCGTTTCATGTTGCTACTCACCTTGTAAGCAGTACAGTTGCCTAACATTCCCAGAGGCTGCAAAATGATTATAAAAACAAGAGTTAATGATTATATTTTAGTAACAAAAAGACATCATACAGTAAACCGGTGAACCGATTCCTGGTGGTGCTTTGAAACTTACGTTTCAGATATTAATATTTGAAACAATAACTGAAACAAAGTAAGAAAACACAAAATTCTACAACTCTTGGATGACATATTCTGGACTTTATCCATGCAAATCAGTAATTTTTCATGTCAGGAAGACACTAGTACCTCATGGCTGGAAGTTTAAACAATAAGTTTACTTAGAAATATAATGTAGCAATTTTCTTCAAATCTTGATCTTGATATCGTTAAGGACTTGGGTAGAAAATACCAACATTTTGAGGCTGGAATACTCCCTTCATCCCAAAATAAATGTCCACTATGACAAAGGCACACATTTTTAAAAATGTGTAACTATTACACTTTTTAATTAACCAAATGACAATTTTACCCTTAATACTAGAGGGAGTAATGAATTTCTCCATTTTGTAATAAAGGGTAGAATTGGAAAGAAGGCACTTCCTTTTGAAAGAAGACTTATTTAGGAACAAACTAAAACAAAAATACGGACATTTATTTGGAGACAGAGAGTTTAACTTGTGAATGCATATACAAGAGCACAAGCAGTAATTGCAAAACCCTAAATCTAAACGTAGGTAATTTCTATAATTATGAATCGGAATTTCCAAACAGTCAATGGTGCTACTAGGACAGATCCCAAGAGTATGCCAATCACAAACATGAAATTCAGAAACATGAAAACTAAATAGCATTGACTGAGGAACTAAAGAACATCTTTAATATTTAGAGAAAATGGTCCTAAATGATCACTCAACCTTGCATTAATAGGGAATGAATAAAAAGTTCACCATGAAAACAAAAAATATAGGAGAAGGAAATGTGAAGAGAAGTGTCGTCAACATTACCATATAACCAGTCTTTAAAGTACACATGAAGTGCAGTTGATAATTCCCGTTTTCTGCTATCTTCCAGTTGTGTTTCTCTCAAAATCTGTTTAACCTCCACCAAGTTCTTGTCCTGCGAAAAGCAAAACAAGTACGTTGATAATAGACTGCATTAGATCAAATTGACTGGTGATTGAACTTAGCGCTCGCTCGTTGGGGTTGTTATGAAAATTTGTTTCCGAAACAAGCCTCGTTTCTTTTGGAAGGTGAAAAGTAATTATGAAAAGTGAACGGAAGAACCGTAAGCCTTTTAGAAAGAAAAAATGGGTAAAAGTGGCTAAAAAGATAAGGTACTCCTGAAGAAGACATTCACGGATTATGAAATAATGATGACCAAAACCTACATTTCTCTGCTGAGATGACATGTAGACATCAGGCAATGGAAATGGATTGTCTTTTGTGGACCCAGATCCTTCACCTTGAAACCAATTTGGAATCTGTAAGGAAGCAAATAAAACATGTACCATAGATTAGCATTATAAAGAGTGATGCATGCTTCATGAAGGCGTCGAGAAAAGATCATAAAAGCTTTATGTTCAGTTTTTCCAAAATCTTAGAACCCACTTAACCAACTAGGGCCATTAGATAGGACTAGAAGGGTACCTGCGCAATACAGCGAGATACATCTCCATTTCAATGTTTCGTTTCATTCTGTCTCCGTCGATGTTGTAATACGATTTTACGGGGTACTGGAAAAACGATAATGTTTTTATTTTTTGAATAAAATATAAATTTGAAGGTATCATTAAATTTTGAAAAAAATGTATCGATTTTAGTATCAAATTAGATATTTAAAAGTGCTTGTTTTCTTTTGAGTAATTTCTTTAATTCAATTTTTTATTATAATTTAATTGCGATTTAACAATGAAGTAATTCATTTTTATTTTAATAATATTATTTTATAAAGATAATAATTAGTATATTTTTAGAATTCAATGACTATCCTAAATATATTTTAGATTTTGTATATTTAAAATGAGATACCTATCCAGTATTTGATTAAGTTATACAAATTCAAACATGGAGCTTTAATAAGTTGTACATACGCACAATTTTACTTGTAATCTTGAATTTTAAGTAATATTCATCAATAAACATTACTTAATGCATAAAAAATGGTTTTTAAAAGTTTTTGTCAAATGCTTTATAATAAAGTATAGACATGAAGACAAATGGAACATAAAATCAGGATGCCACACTATACAGAGAGGTTCAACGGGAACAGCAAAAATATCGGAAACATGGACACAAATCTCAACCATTCGATGGATATGATCCAAGGATGTGATTAGAAAGGCGGTTACAACTTTATTTTTAAAACAAAAAAGATCCACACCCTAATTTTTAACCGAAAATAGGCGAAATATGATCAAAATTGAAGTCAAACAAATTATACCATAAAAAACACGTATTTTGTTCTCTTTAATTTGACATTCATCAGTTTTTTGTGTTTCCACATTTCCAACCTTTTTATTGTTTCCATTTGATCCCTCCCCAATATATATATCGGGGAATACTTAAATGAGAACCATAAATAGGCTGAGAACCATGAAAACCACTTATCATGTGTTGTTTCACATTGTGAAACAATGCAAATGAATGTACAATGTTGTTATGTATTTTTCTTGTTTCACATTATGAAACAACACTATACATTAACATGTATCGTTTCACAATGCAACAACACATGATCGGTGGTTCTCACGGTTCTCAACCTCTTTGTGGTTCTCATTTGATTATGCCCCTATATATAGGCACACATATGCACAAATGTGCATATCAAATTTGCTACCAAAAAAAAAACACAACCATACCAAAAAGTTGGTAAACTGATCAGGTTCTAAGCAGGTAGCAGACTCAGTTTGACAATCAGATACACCAGCAGGATGAGACAACGAATCATGTGGATCTACTAGACCCAGCGCAATAGGCTCATCCCATCTGTTAGGACTAGCCTCAACACCAACTTGCTTCATGTGTTCCTCCAACTGTGGGTAAAATGTATTATATGGTGCCACCTGCATTCGAAGGGCAAATGATTCATATAAAATAACGTTTTGCATATCAATCTTGTATGCAAAACAATAAAGAAAGAAGAACATAATAAGATTTGATGCCTACATCAAGCTATAATCTTTCAATGCAAGTAAGTAGTTCCCGTGCCCCACGCTTCTAAGTATATATCTCTAGGATGAGGCACTTCAAAAGTTATGAGTAAAGCATATGTTTATGAGCCACCATACTCAGATGGTGTAACAGTTTAGACAATGTATCCGCAGCTAATCTTACACCTCTGTATAGAATAAATGCAGTGGATCCAAATGCATGCACTAAATGAACAGCAGTTTCTCAGTACGTCCCATAGTGAACAACTAGAAATCAGAATACAAATAATTTCCAACAATGTCAAACAATATTGGAGCTAGGAAAGTCACTGCTGGCAGTTTCAAACTAAATCAGCAAAGAGCTTTGACAAGTTAAACTACCAGACACTCTGAATAAACCGATGCCTAATCACTTCCTCCCCCTTCTATTTATACTTCTAATAACCAACTTACTTGGCTAATTGACCAGCCTATTGTCTGTTGGTGATTTTAGTGTCACCGGTTTCATTTGGTGTAAGGGGTAAATATATGAGAGCTAAAGGGGATATTTACTTAGTTTTTTATGCAAGTTAGAAGGTGCAGAGCGCACACTTGTATAAGACTAGATTGATCCCGGTACGACCAAAAAGGCGGGGGGGCAAGGGGGCCGCGCCCTTGGCGAGGGTGCCGCTGCCCGGTCAGCGGGCAGGATCGAGGGAGCCGCCCTCGCGGGGTTCGGGGCAGCGCTCCGGACCAAAATTTTCGTACGAAGGCAGCTGGTTAGTTCCTAACGGACTAAAATTTAGTTTCTAACGGAGGTTTTGGATCTAACTTCTCATAACCTTCCAACTATCTTTGGTCTTATCCTTATCATTTGTGGATGATTCTGAGCATATGTACTCATTTATACTCGTTTTTTTTACTCTTCAATCTGAGGATCGGAATATTAAAAACCTACAGTAACGTAATCTAATTTCTATGCCTAAGAATTAGATTGTTCCTTCTTGGATTATCCCATAATCAGAATTTCGTGCAACCCAAGGCTATAGGATCGAAATATCTGATTTGGAAAGTGATATACACGATCCAAGCAAGTGTGATTTCAGAAAACCATCCTATTGTCCATTTACCCCAACAATGTCCCTACTATCTATATGTGTAGGAATACCCACCTCAAGGTGGAAAGAAAAATAATCGCCTTTTTTGGGTTTCCTCATGTCCAAATCTTTTAAGCTCGTAGTTGTCGTCTTCTTCAGCGTATCTTCTTGCAATTTGATCAATGCTTTCATTTGTTTCTTCAATATCTAAATATTTCCTTTTATTGATTTGATCACCACTAGTACCATGCTCCCCTTCAAAAAATTCCCAAACGTATGTCCATTGGCTAAATCCAGCTGGGTTCCCACCCACTTTATTTCCTCAGATCCACCTGTTACTCTTCTGGACAGCCACCTTGCCTTCTGGAATTTTACACTTGTCAGCCCCTTATTTTTCTCTTGCCAAGTAAGTGCCTCTTGTCTTCGTATTTGTTCCAGAAATGCATATGTCGATGTATGCCTGTATGGTTGAAACCTTTAGGGCTTGAGAGATAAAAAGAGTGTTAAAGTTTTTGGGCTTAAGAGAAGGATATCAGTGTGGGCCTCACTGGAGCATTTGAAGTCCAATAGAATGAATAAACCCTTGGTTTTTCTTAAAACGTACATACGGCCGTTCCTAAAAGCAGACGGTGCAAATGCTGAACCATGGAAGACTAGGGACGAAAGTGATGGCTATTGTGATAGGGTTAACAGCAGCAGTGGTAGTGACAACGGCCGCGGTAGTGGTAATGACGATGGTAGTGGTAATGACGATCGTGGTGGTAAGCGATGGTTATTGCCCAACCAAAATCTTACCCTGCTGTAATTACTTGTTCTCTCTACCGAATTCTTGTTCTCCTTCTCTTTGTCGATTGTCGATGAAACCTGGAATAGTCTCTTGCCCGTTCTTCGTTTCTTCTCTGCCAAAGACTTCTTTGTTGTCGATTTACTCCTCACCGTTGATTTTATCTCTGCCTTCCCTTTGTTTTCATAACAGAATCTTGGAATCTTGGAAATGAGGCGTTGAGATGGGGTTAGGGTTTCAAATCTTGACGAGTTATTCGACCTTACCTGGATTGGTGACTTCTGGAACGTATCTTCTTGCACTTCCTGTTCTTTGAGCATTTGAAAATTTTCTTTTATGAAACTTAACTCTGATTGCACGTATCTTAGATCTCCCACGATCTTGTTAAAATTGGCAAGCAAACTCTTGGCCATCTCCAAGATCGACTGCTCTAATACCACTTTGTTGCACATCGTTCAGTCAACAATCAAACGCTTACAGATTCATTTCCAGCTTTTCGAGAGAGCTGGTTCTCTCCAGAGAGGCTTTCGCCAATTACAATACAAACCGATGCCTAATCACTTCCACCCCTTCTATTTATACTTCTCCTCATAACCAACTTACTTGACTAATTGACCAACCCCCACAATTGACCAGACTTATCCCTACTATCTATATGTGTAACACACACACAGAGGGACCAGGAATGTAATTTACTCTAAATATAATGATGCAAAAACACACAGATATACCAAGAGGATCCTCAAATGAACACAGACATAACAGCATATACATGCTAGGGTCATGTTAGTATACAACTCCAACACCTCGACAGAAAAAGATTCCCTACATGTATCATGATACATTATGAATTGCAAGAACTAGATTAAAACTGTACTACGGGGGAAAAAGGTTGCATTTGCAATGAACATACCTGCAGCTTATGGTTATCACCAACAATAAGTGGTTGCTGATTTACCCCCAAAAAGAATACACATTCACGACAATTAGCAATACAGATACGCTTTGCTACTGAAATCACATGAACTCTCTCACAATGCTCAATCCTTACAGCCTGAAAAAAAAACATGCAAGCAAAGTTGAGAAAGTATATTTGATACAGGAATACTAATCTTCAATCAGACATCATCAATGTAGGATGGTTCAGTTCTGTGGGTCCAAAAATGCACTAATAAGCAAATAAAAACATTGAGCTTAAACAGCAAAAAATCATATACTAAGCCAAGCTATGAACTTCCTACTGTCATTAACAGGCAGCATAAACTCATAAATGAAGATATAAGTTTTCTTTGGGTGGAGTAAAATAAAAGAAATCAATTAAATTTGTAAACATTTCAACATCATGAAGTCAGTGAGTGAACCTCAAGAAGCATGAACTTTTTATGTGCATGATGACTAGTGGCAAATGACAAAAAATCATCACATAAGAAGAATATTAGATCTCTCCTCAAACCTAAGTTGATAATGAAGTTAAGAACAATTTAATTCTGTGCAAAAATAGCTTTTAAGCATAAAAATTGTAGGTTAGAAGAAACTTCGCACTTAACTTTTAGATGACTTACAGTTCAGTTTAGTATGTATCTTTACCACAAGCTAAGCACATAGCAACTTGATAATAATAGTTAAAGTTTAAGATTATACCGAATGAAGCGCCTTTAAGCATATAATTATTGGCCAAAAATTATATGCACTTAAGACAGGAATGACTGCCAGTCCTCAGACCATATGCGTACCTTCCCAACAGCACCGAGCACTATAGTCGCGTCAGAGCATCCATATATTGTGGCATATCTCAAAGGAGCCAACAGATAAATGACAGATTCATGGCAATTTATGATCTGCAGAGATAATACATTTCAATTAGAGATGAAGGAATATCATAGAGCAGTAGAGATTCCATTTTCCCTGTCACAACTGGTTCCCGGTTCACTTCTAATAAAAAAACTTAATAAGATATTCACATTGACATCCAAGCCTGGCTAAATTGTTTGAGATGTTTTGCTTGCAATTAGCTTAAACTATGAGAGGAGCTCCTGCTCTTAACTAACCAACCAAGAATCATCATATAGGACATCAGCTTCAACATAATATACTAATGTTAACCATAGGAAAAGGCCTCCTAACAGAGAACAGAATTAATGGATAAAAAAATTGTGTCAATGTTAAATGGAAAGGGTAAAGGGGATGATCGGAGCATAACCACAAATTGAAGATAAGGACAAATGGTTAACCAATCCCAAGTAGTCACACAAAGCAACACGATAGACAAAAAATAAAGAAATGAGGGAACAACATTCTTCCGGTTAACCACAAGGGTGGTGCCTGATTGATTTGAGCTTGGCTCCAAAGGTCAAAGTGACTCGAGGTCCCAAGTTCGAATCCAAGGAGGAATAAAATCCCCTTGTGGCCACGGAGGTTCAAATGCGGTGACTCCAGGCTACCCACGAAGCAGGTGGTCGCCCTGGGATTAGTCGGCTCGCATAGTGGGTCGGATATCCAAGTTAATTAAAAAAAAACATTCTTCTAGTCAACATTTAAAAAGATGGCATGAACTTGGTCTATGGGGATTGATACAATTGAGATTTAGAAGTGTAATGCGTAGAGTCCCAAATAAATCTGATATCTAGGCAATATAATAATTTTGTATTTATATTCCTTTGTATTATTCTAATCTATGGGAGGAAACAACTACTGATTCCTATCTACAGTCTGCTGCTGGACTAGAAGACCTGCACATCCACCCAATAAATGGGCATAGCCATTACTTGCTTAGACAATCAATATCCTATAGTAATTCCTGTACTAAGTGAAAAAGAGATACTAGTTGGTAGTTCTTGACTGGCAAGAGCAATGTTCAAGTTTCTTTTTTTTTTTTTGAAGTATATAATATTTATATACGGCAAATAGAACAAATAAACTCACACACCCTCCTCACCTTTGGTGAGGTTTGAACCCTTGACCTCCTAGGCGGCCAAGGACTCACATGCCGCTGGGCCAAAGGCCCTTTGGTGTGTCCAAGTTTCTTGTTTCAATGGTTTGTTCATATTAAATGATAACTACTATACATCTCCAAGGACACTCAAACATGAAATAGCTTATTCAGCTGGAAGTGCCAACTTTCTTATCCATTGGAATATCACTAAAAAAACAAGTGTAACAAACAGACTAGGACACTGGAACTTGTAGACGTGGACCTGAACAAAAGAGGTTATCTATCTAGGTTTGACAGAAAGTATAAATGTACATTAGTTTCACAAGAAGCATTTGTGAGACAAAGCATGAGCAGCATGTAGGGACAGCTATGGAACTTCTATAGATTTGTTATTCAAACCCTCGTTAGCTTGCACTTGACGGTGTGTTGTAAGCTACGACCGTGTTCCATGCTTCCACAACCACAGTTTGCTTCAAAATTTTATGAATAGTTTGGATATATCTCTTTAGATTTATGCAATTGTATGTGCCTCAGACAGTAACTGCTATGTTATACTGAATGGAGCTCTTATTTTAAAAACCTTTTTTCATATGTAGACGCTAAAATGCGAAACAAGCGGATTGATAAAAATCATTTATGTAAAGTTTATCATAATACTATTTCCAAAATAATTTATAGCATCCTAATTTATACACATGCACAGGACCATATCGAAGATAAAAAAGCGACCAGTATTCCGGTCATGTACACAAATCCCAAAAAGAGTGATCATTTAGTTTATCAAGGATACAATTTACCAGAGCAATTCTAGGAAGTACAGCTGCATAGTGTATATATTAAAAGAAATAGTGGAAGGCCAAACAAAAGCTAACCTTTACAAAAGAGCTTTTAAGTTCAGATGCTTGCTTTACATATGATTGTTTAGAGATTCCCTCTATCGAGCTGGAACCCTTAGCACTGGTTGACACTTTCATCGTGTTCGCATAAGCATCAGACATCATAGCATCCTGATCAGATACATTAGTTGGCCCATTCTCTTTTGCAGCAGCTCTTTCAGAGATATGTTCCATGGCAGAAGAAATATTCTGTACAATCCAATCATGAACCTGTGCTGCAGGAACTGGAGCAGCGGGCATATCAGGATCTGAATTAGCAAAAAATGGAGCATTCTGGCTCAATGGAATTTTCTCTGATCCTTTTTCACCAAAATAGATCAGAAATGCAAGGTGCTCAAAATTTTCCATTGTCAAAACCTGGAAACATTAAAATGTCATCAATACGGAAAAGCTTAAAAGATGCCCCAACCAAAATCCAAACAACAAATACATACAGATGCCAGAGCAACAATTGACGGGGGTAAAATGAAATTTTGAACACTTCGGCTAGATATTGGAAATAGCAAGTAACCTAAGTGATATTCTTGCTATTATCATACATTTTTCAACATATTAGTGTTTCAGTATGTGATGTAAGGCTTCTATGGTTATGGAGTGTTTGAAAACGTTATGAATTCCTCAATTGTCTTGTATGATCTCTTGTTGTTTCCTCAAGCCTTCTTACCTTGGCAGCTAGGCAGTACCTAGTGACTTGTGGTAGATATGAAGGTTATAAGACTTCCCTTTAGTTATGTTATTTCTACATTTCAGGACATAATAAAACATAAAATGTCTCTAGCTTAGGTAGGATAAAATTGAGAAAGATTTGCAAACAAGATGATTATCAGATCCTGCTCCCCTATGAACAACTCTTGTAGTATTTCCTACATGTACCTCTCCGATGCTGACTCCTTCCTTTCTCTTCAAAGTGGCATGAACTTATTTTTGTATTTAAGCCCTACTAACTTCAAAACAAAGGCTATGTCCAAAGTTTATACTACATTACCATCTCATCTTCAATTAGAAGTCCGAGATTATAAGTATCATTGAATGGTTTCTTGCAGTCTTCTCTTTACCTTCATTTCCTCCTCATAAGTTTACAAGGCATAACCATACAAGCCCATAACATCCTAATGAGCACAACATCCTAATGAGCACTCACCAGCACTTTGAGGAGCCACATTTTGAACACATAATCAGCTCACAGCACTCTAACTTTCTCAAAGCAAAGAAAACTTTGTAAGTTATAGTACAGCCGAACTTCAATAAAAAGCACAACTCTTCTACAGAGCTGTCATTTCATATCTTGGCACCCAGCAACATGCCTCCCCTTTCATTCTTCACACAGATTAAGACTCAGACACCTAGAATCTCCAATTGATTTTTATGATCTGCTGAGCTTAACCACGTCCCTGATCATGCCAGCCAAACAATCGACACACAACCCAAATGAAGTTGTATGCCAAATGATAAGGTATTATGATTGTTATCATGCCACTAGTCGTGTGTGTTTGTGTGTTTTAGTTTTCATACAGATTGCCATCCTTGCTTTACCATAAACAACAACTAGCTAAGAATAAATAAAATGAAGTCGAACAAGTTGTTAACTTCTCATGCAACCAAAAGACTTATACTACGCCTTTTTTAACTTATCTCACTGAAACATTGCATCCATGTTACCAAATGCAACCTGTGTAAAGCAATATCAAAATTGCAAGCTAATCCAAAGCTCTTACTTAGCTAGAAAGAAAGAAACTAATTTTGTCCAATTAAAGGTTTTCCCCTTCGCAACAGGAAAAGGAATTGAGTGGTCACAAGATTCCAAATTTATTTTGAAACTTGCATTGAACTATTTATCCAGCTCCCTTCCTCCAGACCAGACTCCAGAGAGTTGGCAGATAGCAAACTGCCATCATCTCCACATTCCCCCCCCCCCCAAAAGAAAGTTCATGACACTACCTCCATTCCCAGAATATTTACTCTTAATAAATATTAATAAAAAGCAATATGGTCTGGCTTGGTTGCATTAAGAAGGCAAAAGACAATTTAATAATTGTTAGATATAATATCATAAGGGAATATTTGACTGTCATATAGAACTTCAACAAGCTAGAATCTGTCAACATAAAAAGCATTGTTAAGATTTAATGGAGCAGTTTCAACCAAACCAAAACAGCAAAAATGTGCAGCATTATAACGGTGTGTACATGCATATGCGCAAAACTGACAGACACAAACAAAAGATGCTTGGACTAACGTTCTAATAGTTAAATAACTAAGAAGGAGCATCAAGATGTAGCCTTGATTGACAAACCAGTGAATCTTCGCCTTCACCTTGGCTATCCACAGAGTCAGCCAACAGAGATATTATGTTTCCCAGATGCTTCTGTAGATAGGATAATTGATGTGCTTCTTCATCAGCTTGTGATGGCATAGACCGTCGGACGTTGCTGCGTGCAAGCTGCTTAATTTAATACCAACTATTGAGTGAGAAAAGATTCCAAGAATGAAATCACATTAAAAGAAAAGAGCACACAAAAGCCTTCAACACAACGAAAGTGCAAAAGACTTGTAACATTAAAGCCACATAAAAACACAAACTATATATATAACGTTAAAACATCAAATACCTGAGTTTCATGTGTTCGGTATCACAGCGTTCAATATATATACACATCATGCATGTATGTATGCATTAGCAGAAATACATATGTGTTATTTTGTGTTTATGATGATGAGTTATAAGTATTCTTGGAAAAGGTCCTACGTCCAGCCTAACGGTTTTCAGTTTGTTAAATCCTAAGAAATTAACCTAGTGGTTGGTGGTGGAAACAACCTTCAAAAGTTGGAACCAGAAAAGAATCTTAAGAAATTGGACAGCAACACCGTCTGAGTGAAGTTGTAATGCATGCTACTTGCACGCTGATATTGTAATTGTTGAAATTGGGAAAACATAAATTGTGGCAGCAAGTGCTAGCCCATGATTAATAATTCTAGATCTCACTTACACTATTTTAAATACTTTTCTCAATAAAATGGTGATAGTGCAAATATACACCAAGTATGAACTCCCCATCTAATTAGATAGAGCCTTAGTGTCAACAGACATCCAAAAATTAGTTCAGGGACTAATTTGGACTTCTGCTGAAGCTTAAGAAAAAGCTGTAGCATTTCCTAGTTGACAGGGCTCTCTGGACGTGAAGTAATTCTCAGGTGATTTCAACGTGGTTACTATCTAGCTGTCATATGGCACATGAAGCATTATAAGCTGGTATGCATTTTGCTGCATGATTAATTGCTTATTTGCTCCATCTGACCAAACCGGCTATGTAGCCAGCCACACACCTCCATTTTGCTGTTCCTTAGTTCAAGCTTATGAACTAGTACTGTATGACATTCCTATCAAGATTTTTTAACGATATTAAAACTTGCATTGACCACTAGAGTGAACTAATGCATTTTCCAGAGAGTGAAAAAGAATATATGATAGAAACAAGTATTGATGTTCGGCTAATGAAAGCATAGAAGCACACTGTAGGTGGAAAAATTGGTATCTAAGATAAGTTGGACTACTACTCAAGAACCCTAGAGAAAGGTGCTTATAGACCATTGATTACTATTCAGATTGGTACATTTCTCAAGAGTCAAGTTCTGTATGCTCCTTCAACTGCATGATTACAAATGATGGCAATTGACTCGACATACTCACTTCTATAGGAAAATTCCATTAGAGGATTGTTACTAAAATCAAATAATACAAGCCTCTAGACACTGTCTAAACAAAGACTATGGGCCATGAACAAGGGAAGTCTGTTGGAAGCCTATAACTTGATAAAATTATAAAATCAAGCCAAAAAAATAAACTAGGTCCAACCAACTAAAAGGTGTTTCTAATTGACCCAATTTGTATGCCAAATAGCAATATAAGGACATGCTAAATAGGGCTTTTTGCTACTACAACAAAAGCTTAAATCATGCTGCTTTACTTGTGGATAGCAGGAAAGATATTTCTAGACATTACAGGCTTCATCTCAAATAGCATAGAGATGTTAAGAATGTCTTCAATTTTGAAAAGGTGGTGTCGTAATCAAGATCCTGGAGCATATTAAAAAGTTATTAAAATAAGAGCCTTTCTATAGAAGATTTAATAAATTAATGATAAAAGATAGAGATTTGAAAATAAGCTCCATTGCAAAAGGCCAAAACACTGGCAACAGTCTCTTCCCATCTTAATTCTTAAAGAAGTGGCAAACCGATTTGTTTCTTTAGCTCTCCATAAACCAATTACTTTTTTTCCATAAGAAGTGAGCTTAATACTGTCAAAAGCTTACATCTTCCACTCGAGTTGATGAACCGATATGATATCATCTGCTCTCCCAGTTGCGCCTATTCTTTTATTTTATTTCCCAAAATCATAGATTTAAGTCTAATCACAGCTAGCAACCTCGGTGCAAAGCTAAGCAGCCGTTCAAAATTAAAGCATCCGCAGAAATTGGCGAAATCTCATGTTACAACTAACAGATAAACCAGAAACAAGCAATGAAATCACCTGTAACGGCGTAAGAGCTGATAAGAAACCATCGAATGCAGAAGTAGACGGCCAAACATCGGCAACAGCAGCGGAGTCCTTATGTCCCTTAGGAAGCAACCGCTTGTACGACTGTATGTACAAGAAAATAATCAGATCATACACATTGACACCTACAGAATCAACCTCATCGGGCTTAGCCGTCACAAGCGGGTCCGAATCGGAGGGGTGAACGGACGCGATTATATCAAAGACAAGACGGGCGTGTTCTAGTGAGATCTGCAGCGTTTCAGAGAAAACAGCAGAGTCAATTCGGTGTGGGTAGTTGCTGGCAACCGGATGTTGAAGAAGTTTGTCACGGAGAGAGGTTAGGGTTTGTGTGGCGTCGGTGAAGATGAGTTTTTGCAAAGGGATGAGTCCATGCTCGAAAGGCTCCCGTCGTGGATGTATGTAGACAGGTGGTGGTGGTGATGGTGATGAAGGTTGCTCCGGTGGTGGCGCTGCTGCTGGCGTCTCCGTCATTGTGGTGTTGGAGGAATGGATCTGGGGTGTTGAGTGAGACTGTGTGGGACTGGGAGAGAAGGAGAAGGTGGCAATTTGGTGGTTATTGGTTAATCATGGATCATTAAAGCATTTAAACTCCATCAAATTAAAATGGAGAAATCATCATCCCCCCTAAACTTTCCAAAAAAAAAATCATTATCATCAAATTAAAAGAATCCGGAGTTCGAATTTCGGATTGTTTACTATAACATGTATCGTGATAGTACTTATTTTATTAGTACTCACCGGATAAGAGACGTTAAAGTTGTGTTGGATGGTGTATCAATATGTATCAAACTTTTTTAGGCACAATTATATATTTTTTTAGCATGTAGCAAGAGGTTCATTTAAGAAACAATTCCAGAGGCTTTCTCCCATCGAAGTCGGATCAAACGCAAATATTCGACCCGGCGATCAAATTCTTGGTGGGAATCATCAACTTTATAATGTTTGGTAAGTATCTGAAAAGTAAAGAAGTGTCTATAATCCTTCATACGGTTAAAGTTGTTTAAGAATTATGGTTTTTACTGGTCAATATTTGCGGTTTTGACTGGTCAAGCAAAAAATTGAGGGGTAGTTTCGTAACTTTTACAAATAGACGGCAAACAAGTACATATGTGAAACCATTGTTCATATGTGAATCACACGGGTTAACGTATGAATTTGGGTGGCAAAAAATGACCAAACATGCTAATCCAACCCGAACTCAACCCAAAATTAGTAGGTTGGGTTGAGATTTTCAACTCATTTAAATAAATGAGTCAACCCGCCTAACCTATTTAAATAAATGGATTGGGTTGGATTTTTCGACATGTTTTCAACCCGTTTTCAACTCATTTAAAATATTATATAATTTTATTTTATTCTTAATATTATATCTAGTATTTTAATTTTTTATTTTTAATTTTGTTTTATTCTTAATTAAAAATCTTATCGTCATGAGATGAAACTTCAAATTTCAATCGCCTCTATTACTCTTAATCATCATTAAACTATAAGAAAACTCTTTAGTCCATTACTCCATTATCGCCTTCAAAGTCCAATCTAACTTATTTTGAACAATATATTTGTTGTGGTTGTGTTTTATTCAAACTTTGAACAATTTGTTTGTATTTGTGGTTGTGTTTTATTCAAAAAAAGATCAAATAGTATAGTCCCTTTTTTTATTAAAAAAAAAATTAATGGGTCACCCATGTTCAACCCATTTATTTAACAGGTTGGGTTAAAAAAATCATAAATAAATAGGTTAACCCACTGTCAACCCATTTAGGTAATAGGTTGGGTTGGGTAAAAAAATTTCAACCCATTTAATTAAATGGGTTGGGTTTGGTTGAGATTTTCAACCTGATTAATAAATTGGTTGAACCTAAACCCAACCTAACCCATTGCCACCCCTACATATGAATATATAATTCATATGTAAATCATGTGGGTTCACATTATGAATCACAATGGTTCATATATGCACTTGTTTTACCGCATATTTGTAAAAGTTATGAAACTGCCCTCATTATCTTCTACATATCATGTGAGAAATTATTCGGTACTTCATACTCGAACTTGCAAATTTTGACCAAATAAATAGATATAATCACTTATTTACTTCTCAAATGAACCTACGGCTTAACATGTACCTAATTATATATATATATATATATATATATATTCACATACAAAATCATACATGTTCAAAAGTCTTATGCTTCCATTTTTTTTGTGTTGATATAAAATCACATGTGATTTTGTACATTAACGACATTTTTCTTGTTTTCTTGAATAGTTAGTGTTCTCATTTGAACCTTCCACATATATATATATATATATATGTGTGTGTGTGTGTAATAATGTTAATTTTGGTAATATAAAATGGAAATATGCAAAGAGAAAGAAAGAGATACAGTTGTTAAGTAATTTAATTAGATACAAAATAAGAATATCAAATTATGAATTTACTGTTTTATTTTATTTAAAGAAATAGTATTGATTATCTTAAATAATAGGTTCACATCGAATCTCACAGTTATCACAAACTACCGAGTTTTTATTTGATTAAGCCCTATATACATAGCCCACGATTTACCTCAATCCCTTCAGCCTCGTCCCATACGCTTTAGCCATTTAGGTAACTATTAGCAATTCAACTCAATGCCCTAATTCCTTCCATTTTCTACCATATTTTTTGATCTGCCAATTCTCGATTACAACTCCATACCTGCAATTCCTTCTCCTAAGGTCTCTATTTTAAAAATTGAACTCTTCTAGCCAGCTATTCTCATTAATTTTTGTTTCCCAATGACCAATTTTATGATTGAAGCACTAAGCATGACCTTGTTTTTCTTTTCTAAGTGTTTGATCAGATGCTATAGGTATTATTTTCAAATTTGATTGTTGAGACCAGCAGGAACCATGACTCGGGATTTTTTTTCCCTACAGAAGGAAGATGAAATTGATAATGGAACTTCAATACCTACTGAGAACATGAGGGGCCAAAATATCAGCCCTTATAGAAAAACCCTGTATAACGTCTTGGTATGTCTTTGCTGATATTAACTATCAATCTGATCCATATAAAGGTCGATCCTAAATTGGAAAGGAATTGTAGTAGGAAACACACCGATTGCTTAGAAGTATATTAAGCAAACCCTTGTAGCTACCTTCTCAGACTATTCCAAGAATATTACTCTACATGATATTTTTTAAAAGTGTATATGGTTAAGGACTATCATTACACATATTAGAGGAACTAATGGTTTGAGTTCAACCACTATCCTACTTGCATATATGAAAATAAGCATCATGTACGCAAATGAAAAGTAAAATACATAAAGGGTGATAACACAAAGCATATTCTGCTTAAGTTTTTATACAATCAACAATAACAAACACTTTTCAAGATTCAAGTAAATCAAATAAGTTGTGAAGAGAATATAGCATTTTTGTTTACCAAATCATTACATATAACCATATATATTTGGAGACATGTATAAAGTATTAAAATACAAACGTTTTTCAAACTCCCTTGATTAATGAACGAATCAGGAGGAGCAGTAGACAAAAGGGGAAGTCTACTATATATGTTGTGCTTTTTCAAAAACTCTAGATCTTTGGACTGTATTTTCCCATCTCTATTTTGAACTAATTTTGATTTTGATATTTTGTTGGCAGATGCATTGGTGACATTTTTACAACTAAAGAGTTCAAGCCTCATCAAAGGTAAAGTATAAACTTAAAGAAAGTAGTGATACTTGTACCGATATAATTTTGATTTTGATCTTTTGTTGGCAGATGCATAAGTTAATTATGGTGACTTATTGGATTATATGTATTTTCATGTTATAGTGTAGAAAGGTTAAAGTTTCATATAATAGTAATTTTTGGTGGATGTCTGCTTCAAATACGACCATGACCTATTAATCTATTATTTATACTATATTATAAAGGATTTGACAAAAACTCTTATAAACCATTTCTAATGCATTAAGTATTGTTTATTGAGGCATATTACTTAAAATTCAAGATAATTAAATCAAGATATATCTCGTTGCATTGTGCGAGTACCATTCTCGTTTCTACATAACGGAATGGTGGTCTTTGAGAGGTATAGTTTGTTTTGTTTTAATTTTTTGATATCAAATGTTTGTATATAACACATCAAATACTAGTACATTCAAAAAAGGCAAAGTACTAAAATGACTTTAAATTAGGGTTGATTTAGAATTAGAAAAAAATGACATGTCAATAAATATTGGTGACATGTAGATCAGTAACTTGTTTAGCAGGTAAAATATGTGTAAAATAGAAAGAAAAAAAATAGAAGTTTGTTAATATTAATTGAGAAAAAATAAACTTCGAAGCCGTTTACTAAATACTTACCCGAGCAAACACTTACCAAGTCACATTACCTTATAAATGAATATGACAAAGACTAAAAATCTTACCCGATAAGAGCGATAACAAGGACCTAGAGTCTTATCCGGTAAGTGAGGGTGCCGACTCTTACCATGATTAACGCTTATCTGGTAACTTGTTGCATACAATATCATCTTGGTAGATTAAAATCTTACCCGATAAGTAGATGATAGTGTTAAATTTTTCCGAAGATAAATGTTTGATAAACAACCCCTTTCTTATATTAATATTAAATAGGAACTAAACAAAACTTTATTGTATTTATCAGGACATCCTTTGCATGTTAAATGTGAAATTTTGAAAAGGGCACTCGAAATTTTGGGGCCAAAATCTACATGCGTTTAGGGTCTTTTATCGACATGTATAAAACTATAGCCGAAATTATTTAGGTTCAAACCATTAAGTGTTTGGTTTTATATTCAAATCATTAATGATTTAAGTTTAGTTTCAAAATGTTAATCGTTTTAAGTTTAGTTTATTTTTGTTCTTAACATATATTTTCTGTTATCTCATTTATCTATACTATATTATAAAGCATTTGACTAAAACTCTTAAAAACTCTTAAACTCTTAAAAACTCTTAAAC